CTGGAGTCAATGATCTTTCAAGGTCCCTTCCAGTTCTAGGAGATGGGATATCTCCATTATATAGTGTGTGTAGATTGTGTGTGTGTGTGTGTACAGTGTGTGTGGTGGGGGGGTAGGCTGCGTGTATACATGGTGTACACAGCTGTGTCTATACATAGTGTGTGTGTGTGTGTGTGTGTGTGTCTAATTTATGCATCTCTGAGTGTGTGTCTAGCTCTGTGTGAATGTTGGGTGTGTTGTGTCTCTTTCTAGCTCTGTATCCCTCCCTCCCCCCACCCCCATGCATGACCCTCGCGCCCCTCAGCCGCCCCTCCCTGCGCAGCTTCCATCTGCCCCATGGTGAGGTATTTATAACGGGGGTGGGGGTCAGACCCCAGTTATGGGGGGCAGAGAGCCTGGCTGGGGTGGGGGGGCAGGACAGGGAGGGGGTGGGGATTTCTACGCTGGCATCTCAGACCCAAGGAGAAGTTTGTGGGGTTTCTGGGGGGCTGGGAAGGCAGCTTGGCCTGGGGCTAGATTTGGGGGGTGACATTTGGACTTGAGGGGAGAAGATGTCGGAACGGTTGAGGGGATCTAGCTGGGCACAAACTCTGGGGGGGCGCTGCGGGGGCTGGGATGAAAGTGGGGGGTGGATGTGGGATGACATTTTCAGGGTGCTGTATGAGCTGCCAGGACGTTTTGGGGGTTCAGTGTAGGGCACCAGATAAAAACTTGGGGGGTTGTTATGAAACAAGGGATCCAGGTTTTTTGGGGGTGTCCTGGGGGGGGTGGAATAACCTTTGGGGCGTTCAGTTCTGAAGGGCAAATGGTTTCAGGGTGGGGTCTGGGGGGCTGTGGAGGTGAAGGCTGGAAATGTTGGGGTACAGAGGGGGGCCGGAGGGGGAGGCATGTGATCCGGGGGGGCCTTGGGGAACAGCTTGGAATTTGCAGGGGCTTGTTTTCAGGGGACACATGATGGGTCATTCCAGCCCAGTTTTGGGGTGTTGTTTCGCTGCATCCCGCTAATGGCTTTCGGGTGTGTTGCATTCACAACATCCCAACAGGCATTTAGGACAGGCTGGCGGGGCAGGGCTGGGCTGGCAGGGGCCGCGGGTCAGGAGTGTGGGGCACCGACGGGGCAGGAGGGGCTGGACTGGGGGGGGCTGTGGGGCGGGAGTGAGGGGCACTGGCGGGGCGGGGGGGATGTTCTCCCCCGCCCTCTCTGATCCCCTTACGTAGCTGCCCCAGACTCCCAAAGCGGCTTTTCTCCCTTCCTGCCACAATCCAATTAACTGGGGGCTGCGGCTCCCCCGGCCAAGGGCTGGCAGAGGACAGAACACAGAAGCAGCCCACTAGGGGGGTGCTGTGGGGCAGGGAGCGGGGCGGGGGCT